GGGGCACTGAGCGCTGCAGGGGTGATCCGGGTGCCCGCGCACAGGCCGCTAGCTGGAGCGGTGGCCCACCCCCAGCCTCTGGCTACCGGCTTGCCCACCGTGCCCTCCGTGCCCGCCGTGCCGGGCGTCAACAACCTCACCGGCCTCACCTTTCCCTGGATGGAGAGTAACCGCAGATACACAAAGGACAGGTTCACAGGTGAGTCCGGCCCGCGCGCGCCCCGCCTGGCCGCGGCCCGGGCTCTGCGCTACCCCTCTCCTGCCCGTTGGCTCCCTGCAGCTCCCTCTGCGCGCCAGGTCGCCCAGCTCCTCTCGGTGCTTCCCCCAAGTTCAGCCGCCTGCCACCTCTCTATGCTCGCGGAATCGCCGTGCTCGAAGAGTTCTCCCAGACTGGGCCTCTCTGCGACTCTCCCGCAGGACCCCTGCTCTGAGAAGCGCTCCCTGATCCCCTCTCCGAGTCCCTGGGCTTGGTCAGGCGGAGGGAAGGGGGATGTAGCTTCGGGACTACCTTCGGCCGGCACTGGGGCTCTGTAATCTCAGAGACAGAGGCGCGATGTGAACAAGCTGTTTCTTCCGTCCCGGCCGACGTTCTCTGGCCCAGGCGGCGAACCCCAGAATCAGACGCAAGGAAAGAACAGGTTCCCCACCTCCTGTCCCCTACGCGCGCGCACACACACACTCGCGCTCCGAGCTCCAGTGCCCGTCGCGCTGCCGGGCCCAGCAGAGGCCCCGAGCCCAAGTAAAGCAGCAGAGCTGGCGGGCCCTTCTTCCCGGACTTCAGGCTTCGTCCTGGTCGGCGGCAGCGTGACGCTGAGCCGCCCGCTTCATTTTCGTTCTGTCCTGGCTCTGCGTCCTTCCCCCTGGGCCCAGCCCAGTTCCCTCTGGCCTGAATAATGCACGGGCCAGGCTCGAGATCGATCGCCGGCCGAAGGACAACTCAAGGGACGATTACGCATTCGGCAGCTCTCCGCTGCCTACTCTGCGCCTGCCTCCGCTCGCCCCGGCTCCCTTCGCTCCCGCTTCCGCTCTCAGCACTCAGCTCTCGCTCATGCGCGGGCCCCTTTGCCCGGCCTCACTTCCCGCTGCCCTTACGTTCCCTGGATCTGAGACTACGATCCACCGCCAGGCCAGGCCCTCAAGCCCGCTGGGAAGCAACCACGAGTTGAGCCTGGGTTCCTGGCCCGCCTTAGAGAGAGGAGGCAGAGGGGGCACAGGCCGCTGCCGACCGCGACTTGAGATTCCCGTAAGGCTCAGGGTCCAGGGCCCATCGGTGGAGGAGGATAGGCAGCTTAGAGTTAGACCTAGGGCTGGGCGACCCCAAGGCACCCCAGGTCTCCTGCTCCTGTTCCAGCCTTGGAACTTTGGCCCAGACTCTGGGTCTGTGCAAAAGTCGGGGAGGGGGAGGCGGAATAGCCTTTCTGCTCTGGGCCTCTAGGAAGGGCCTTGTATTCAAGGGGCCCCACTGCCCCAAACCAAGTTCTCTCAGGCCTGGGGAGGCAGGGCCTCGTGCCCATCACACTCCCCCCAACCAGGCCAGGCCGGGCTTGAAGGGCTCTGATGGACTGCCCAGCCCAGGGCCCACTGGTCCTTGGTCTCTGGTGAAAGGTACGCCACACAGGGCCTACCTAGGGGAGCCACAGCTGGGCCTAATCTTGCTCCGGGCCTGAAGAAGTTTCTGAGGGAGTGAATGGCTGTTGCCTTGTGTTGCCCTGTGTCCTGTGTGTCTGCCTCTGTGCCTGTGCCTTTGCTTGTCTGTGTGTCTGCCTGTTTGGGTGTATAGATCTATAATTTGCTCCTGTGATATGTGATGTCTGTGTATGTTGCTGTGTGATGGAGGCTCAAGTCAGGACCCAGGGCCAGGACCTTGACCAAGCAGGGCCTCTTACTATTGGGCAGCTTCTCTGAGGCCGAGGCCTGGGGCAGCGGCGGGCTGCCACCCTTAGCTCACCTCAGACATGCCCCTCAAGGAGACTGAGGAGGCCACTGCGGATGGGTCTGGCTGGGCACGTGGGAGCCTGGGGCTAGGGAGGCCTCTGTGGTGGCAGTGGCGGCGTCGGCCTGGCGGCGGGAGGGGGCCGTTTCCAGCAGCGGGCTTGGAGCTGAGGGCTGACGGGAGACCAGGGCCCTGCTCATGGGGTCTAGCCGCTGCGCTCGCTGCCTCGCGGGGTGTCGGGCCTGGGACGCCTCCTGACGCTCTGCCGCTTGCCTCTGCCGTCTGTCTGTCTCCCGCTCCAGTGGCCCTCTCACCCTTCACTGTAACACGCCGTATAGGTCACCCCTATCAGAACCGGACGCCCCCCAAGAAAAAGAAGCCGCGCACGTCCTTCACGCGCCTGCAGATCTGCGAGCTGGAGAAGCGCTTCCACCGCCAGAAGTACCTGGCTTCGGCCGAGCGCGCCGCCCTGGCCAAGGCGCTCAAAATGACAGACGCGCAGGTCAAAACCTGGTTCCAGAACCGGCGGACGAAATGGAGGTGAGCGTGCGGGGCAGGCGCGGCCGCGGGCCGCGCAGTCTCGGCAGCTCTCGGCTTGGGGCCTCTCTCGGGGCGTCTCTTACACTCCCTCTGCTCGCCCGTTTCGGATCGGTTCGGAGGAGCGGGCCGCTCCTGCTAGGCTCGCGGGGAGCGGGAAGCAACCGAGGCCGATGAACGGGATGGGGCTGGAGAGCCCAGCTCTGTTTTACTGGAGGCTTCTTGGCTTTCTGGCTGGCACATTCACTGCCAGTGTAGACGGGGCTGGTCGCCTCCGCTGCTTGGGGAAACAGGCGGGTTAGAACACAGCCTGTACATTCTGGGCTTCCTAGATTAGTGAGTCCTGAGAGGCTTTTTGTTTGCGCAAACACCCTTACAGAGATGCCTCCTCTCTCCCGGAGACTGGAGACAGGATGGCCCGTGCTTTGTTTCTGCGCCCCAGCCAGGGCACCCGGTGGAGAGTCTGGGGCGCCAGACCGCCGGCGTGGGCCCTTCTGACTCTGTCCTCCCCAGACGCCCAGCCACCGGGCAGCCGGTCCCCCACCCTGGAAGGGGAAAATCAATCCGCGCCGGCTGCGGCGGGTTTTCCAGGGTCCCACTGAAAGGGGGATCAGTTGGGAGCAGATGGGTGTGTGTGTGTGAGAGAGAGACATTTCCTTTTCTCCTGTCTCACACCCACAACTACACTGATTCTTCCCCCACATACATATCTACTTCCACCGCTCTCATCTTCTCTCTCTCTTACCCTTACATACATAACGCGTCCCCCACACTCCTAGGCAGCCTTATTCTCCGCACACACCGGCGCTGTCTCCGCCGCACCCTCTTGCACTCCTGCACGCTCCTGCACATATGGGCCGCATTCTCGGTTCCCCACACGCCAGGAGTTTCTCGCTAGCTCAGGCCTCAGGGGGGAGCGCAAGAGAGTCTGGGCAAAGTTGGCGGCGCCGGGCCGGGCGGGCCTGGGGCGGGAGGAAGGAATTGGAGTTTCCTCTTTTTCTGAATGAAGGCGAGGAATCTGCCTGGGATTCCGCCGTCGTGGCCACAAAGGAAGCCAGTGCCCCGCGAGCCTGCTGCCCCCCACCCACATTCCTGCCGCTGGGGAAGGGGTGGGGGACGCGTCTTCAGATCTCTGGAAAGCTAGTTAAAGAAGGAGCAGGGGCTAGCGGGGTAGAGGAGGCACTGGTGTACCCAAGGCTCACCCAGGGCTGCAGTCTAGGGCGGGGAGGGACTGGGCAAGTGGGGGGGGGGGCGGTGCACAGAGGAAGACAGAGCGGCAGGCAGAGAGAGAAACTGAAACACAAAGGGAGGGAGCAAAGATAGACACCCCACCCCAGGGAGAAGAGGAAAAAAACAGGCAGCCTGAAGAAGTCTTACATATAATAAAGGAAAGCAATTGATGACTAAAATCTCCATTTTCGTTTCAAACAAATTCCCTTAATTCTGCGAGAATGAAGGAGGTGAGGGTGAGAGAAAACAAGACATAGATACAAAGCCTAATGGAAGAGAAACATTCAGGCAGTTTGAAACGCAGGGAAGAAGGGAAGACCAGAGGCAGAAAGACACACAGAGCGAAAAGGCAAGAAGGGGCGGCGGGAAGGGGCCCGGCGTCCGCCGCTGGGAGAGGCCGCGGCTGGCTTCGCGCGGCTTCATCGATCGCCTACAAATTGCTTCTGGAGGCCCCGGGGACTCCCATTAGGTCTGTCCACCTTAGAGACAGACGTTTGATCTCAGTTGACGGGTGGAGGGGAGGCATTAAATGGAATAAGTGAGTCATCTCCTCCCTGGACCACCTCGGAGGAAGCCAGCTGGTCTGGCGGGAGTCCCGGCAGGGCACAGGGCTCGGCGCAGGAGGTCGGAGGCCTGGGAGAGGTTCGCCGAGAGAAGGGGGAGATGAGAGGTCCAGCAGGGCAGCTCGTATCCACCCGGCCCTTGCCTCTGCTCGGGACTGGTGGAGAGCTGAGGCCCCTCTGGCTTGGGACGGCGCCTGGTCTTCCTCAGGGCTGGGGAGAGGGGAGATGCCATCCTACCCCTGGCTGCGCTGTCCAAGGCTGGTGGAGGTGAGGGCTCTGCGCGTAGACGGAAGCCCCAGCTGCTCGGGCCTAGCAGACTTTCCCACAGCTCGCCCGGGATACCTCCGCGCCATCTACTTTTGGGGTTTCCAGTCTTTGTCGGAGTCAAGACCCTCAAGATAAGGGAATATGTTAAAGGGTCCCAAGCTCGAGTTGGGGGCTGTGAAGGGGAGCAGCGCTGGCACAGGTTGTGTCCGGGAACCGCACCCGAAGCGTCGGTAACGGCTTGTCCCTGGTGCAGGCGGCAGACCGCGGAGGAGCGCGAGGCCGAAAGGCAGCAGGCGAACCGCATCCTCCTGCAGTTGCAGCAAGAGGCCTTCCAGAAGAGCCTGGCGCAGCCGCTGCCCGCCGACCCGCTATGCGTGCACAACTCCTCGCTCTTCGCCCTGCAGAACCTGCAGCCGTGGTCTGACGACTCCACCAAGATCACCAGCGTCACGTCGGTGGCGTCGGCCTGCGAGTGAGCCTGCCCGCTCCACCCCTCGTCCAGCCAAGGGGTCGCCGAAGCCTGAGAGCCAGGACTCTCTCCTACCCCTCCTCGCCTCAGATTGCACGCGGGAGGGGAACGTCTCGCCCCTTCGCGCCGGCCCGTGGATACCAGTCTCTCTTGGAAAAGAAAAGCGCGCGGGACAGGGATGCGAGACCTCCTCCCAAACGCCCATGCGGTCCCGTGCCCTTTGGAACTCTTCAGACTCTCCCAGTTTGCGTCTATTTTATTTTATTCTGATTTTTAACGTGGGAGCGAGAGAGACAGGGGAGGTGGGGGAAGAAGAGCTTCTGGGGTCCCCAGAGGACAGCACAGGCTGTCATTTGAACTTGCCCTGGGGAGGCCTCCTTTCTGTATCCCACTCCTCATCACACACGGACATCGATAGGCCCACACAGAGGCAATTTCACTATCCCTCTTGGTGTCACCCCAGAATCACAGGGGGCCTATGGTAGAGTGTCATGTACACACAGGGCCACAACCTTTGCACCTTTGACCTTCACTGTCAGACATAAGCCAGGGGTGACCCAGACTCATTCTGAACAGCATGGCATTTCTCACAAACACAAGGCCATGGCCACACTGTGACACCCCATCCCACACCCCTCAGCCACAGTATCGTCACTTGGCCTGCTAGGCCCCCATCACACATCCTAGCCGCACCCAGGTACGCATAGGCAGTTTCACAGAAACTCAGCCCATTTCTCCAGCTCCTGTTCGTAGGGGGGTTTAAGTTATGCACTTATAAGGTGTTTTCTGTGTAACCATTTTATAAAGTGCTTGTGTAATTTATGTGAAAAAATAATAAAACCCTCCGGATCCGGAGTCGGGGCTGCCTGCTCCTTGCTGAGCCCAGCACCTTGCAGCTGCTTGGTTTTGGTGTGAGCTGGTGCTGCCGGGGCAGTGCTGGTGCCTGAGCTTGATGGACATCTGGGGGCCAGGACCTGCAGGCTCTGGAGAGAGGAAAGAGGAAGGGGACAGACAGAAAGAAGGCAGAGGTGAGGAAAGGAGGGAGAGCTAGGCTCTCCAGTGACAGCTAACGCTCGCTGCTGGGGAATATATGGACGTCTTTGGATGTAAGAGTTGTGTGTGTGCATTGTGTGTTTGTGATGGTGTGGGCAATCAGGATGTTACTGATAAGGAATATTTGTAATAGTGTTTAAGCATGTAATTGTGTTTGCAATTACTGTGTATAAGTGGTTGTTTCTGTTTAAGTTGCAAATCGAAACTATCATTGTACACAGAGACTTGTAGTGGTGTGTATGTAACCATGTGTGAATGGGACTGTGTCTTTTTGGGTAATTGTGTCATCACCCACCCGTATTTGGGGTTGTGTATGAATCATGTGTTAATGTTTGTGAGAGTACATGTTAGTTTCTCCTTGTGAAGCTACTTTTGTGCTAAATATGTGAATGTTTGTGATTGTGTATCATCTTTCATTGTATGAATGTAATTGTGTGTAAGTGTCATCATGTGTGAAATGTGTATTTTTTTTGTGTGTGTGTGAGAGGAAGATTAGCCCTGAGCTAACATCCACTGCCAATCCTCCTCTTTTTGCTGAGGAATATTGGCCCTGGGCTAACATCTGTGCCCATCTTCCTCTACTTTATATGGGACACCGCCACAGCATGGCTTGACAAGCGGTGCGTCTATCCACGCCCAGGATCCGAACCTGTGAACCCCGGGTCGCTGAAGCGGAGTGTGCGAACTTAACTGCTACACCACCGGGCCGGCCCCGAGATGTGTATGTTAACTGTGTATACTTGTTCATGACAGTATGTAATTGAGGAAGTGAATATAGTGGGGAGTGTGGATCATTGTGGATGACTGTCCCTGTGGGTGAGTGTGTGGTTGTGTGTGAGTGGGTGTAATTGTGTACTGGTGGTGTACATGGTGGTAGGGGTCTAAGGTGGGGTGGGCAAATACATTGTGGGGGTACCAACATCCGCTAGGAATTCTGAGGTCCTAGGCCCTTCCCCAGCAAGCTGCAGAGACTGGGGCACACTGAGTCAGTAATTGGGCCAGGATCCTCTGTCGTGCTCTAAGAGGGACTTGCCAGCTCCCAGTGCTAGCCTGGCCTAGGAGAGATATAAATAAGTGACTTCCTAGGACCTTCAGGGATCCTCTGCACCACTCTGGCCAGGATTGCAGCCACAGTACACACACACTCCCCATAACATCTAGTCCCCACCTACTAGACCAATCTTAGGTATGCAAAACTGACTTGTGCCTGCTTTTCTGGAAGAAGCCAGGTGGTGGAAGGTCTGGGGAACATGCCACCCTAGGGAAGAGGAGTGGGGGGATAGGAGAGTCTTTCTTTTGGGATAGGAGAGTGAGAGAACATCATGGCTAGAAACTAGAAGCAAGTGGGGTGTGGAGCTTGTTCCTACCTGCAGAGCTGTGTGCACCCGGATGAGGGTGGGAGGAAGAACCATAGAAACCGTCAGAGCCATCGTCCTTCATCCCTGCCCAGGCTGCCATCCTGGACCTGCCATACTATATGGGGACAAAGAGCACAGCAACCTCCCACCCAAGGAGGCCCAAGGGGAAATTTGGCTGGGTGGGGAGTGGGCAGTGTTCATCCATCCCTCATCTGTGGCCCCCTTGGACTCGGAGAGGAAGATTTTGAGTCCAAAGGATGGAGGCTGGCCGCTCTGTCCCCACCCCTCAGGCCCAGTGGGTGGCCAGGCCCGGCCCTGACAGGCTGTGTATTGGTGGTGGACGTAAGGTCCTGGCGCAACGCCGGATCTGCATCGGGTCCCTACCCGCACCGGCAGCCGCACCCAGTACCAGGCCCAGCGAAATCCGGAAATGGCCTCCCGGAACCGCAGAATTGTCTCCTGCCTGAGCAGGTCTGGCTGTCCCCTCCCCTCCCCTCCTGCCGGACCGGAGCTGCTCAGCCCGCACCTTCTTCGTTCTGTGTGGTCTCTCCTCCATTTGCGTCTTAAGGACGTACCTTCAATGTCTCCCGGCTGCACCATTCCAGAATCACCGATCTGAGGGGAGACCGGGGCCTTCTTCCCGCCTCCCAATCCCGGGGACTTCCTCAAGAAGCTGCTGCGCCCGGAGGCTCCTGGATATTTTCCGGCCACAGACTGTCCAGCTAAGGAGCTGAGGCAGGAGAGGGAAGCGGCTGCCTGGCCCCAACACAAACCCCCAAACCGACTCCAAAATCTGGATTCTTCACCGCCATCCCTCAGCCCCTCTTGTGAGATAAACGCAAGCAAAATTAGGCACAACACATACCCTTGCCAAAATACCTCCTATCTCCCCGATCTTCGCAACCAGCTAGGGCTCACACTCATAATCGCGCGCGGGGGAATGCCCCCTCAGCCCCGCTGCTCTCGGACCCTGTCCAGCTCGTCGGGGACTCGCAGGGAAGTGGGCATCCCGCAAGCCAGAATCCGGAGCGCTGGGTCCCTGGCGCCGATTGCAGGCGGCCACCCGGCTACCACTACCGGCTACCCGGACACGGCGCCCGCTCCCGGCGCTCGCTGGAGGCCCGGGTCGCGCGCTCTCCCGCGGCCCCTCCCAGGCACCCAGGCCCTCTGGCGCAGCGTCCCAGGGGTGCCAGACTCCCCAGGGCACTGAGGCCCTCGGCGCTGAGGGAGCACTCAAGACTCCCCTCCCGCCGCAGGAAATTCGTTGGGACCGAATCTCGGCGAATCCCGCATCTGCCGAGGGCCGAGGCCGCGGAGAAAGGCTGGGATGGCAGCAGGGGCTGCCCGGGGCAGCTGGACCCCCACACCCAGTCCCGAGTGGGGCAGAGGCTGGAGGGGAGGAAGCTTCCAGGGTCACAGTCACGGCCAACTACCCGCAGCAGAAAGCTCACAACTCCTGGCCTGCCACTGCGCCTGCCCGAAATGGTCGGTCTCTGTTCAAAAAATAGAAAAGTAACACATTATCCGCATAATTGTGTGCAGAGGTGCGGAGAGAAGAAAAGAGGAATTAACGAACCTATCTGGGCAGAAAGGCCCCCTTCCTTCCTTGGCTTGAGTGAGCTGAGTGCACTGATGAAATTCCCATGCGAGTGAGCCCTGAGCGCCAGCTCAGAACTGGCGCAGCCCAGCGCAGTGGCCGAGTGGGTGGCGGCCTGTGGGGCCCAGAAACCCGTGCAGGGCTGGGGTCCTAGAGGCCCCATGCCGAGGTGGCACCAGAGAATCTGGCTCAACCTGTTAACTATAATAGCGGCTTTGTGTGGCCGGATCTGTGCTTGGGGGCTGTGTGGGCACGGCTTGAGCACTGCCTTGTGAGGCCCCCTCTGTGGTGGCAGGTGTGGGGTTTGCCTTGGGCCCAGGACTCAGGTGGGGCGTCCTGTTGGTGGTGTGAGCGACTTGCAGGTGGGCAAGGTAGGTTCCAGGTGTAAGAGACGACTAAGCAGGGACCACCCTCCCGGCGGTGCAGAGCTGGAGCAGCCTGGAATCAGCCACTATGCTGTGCGAGGGGAGCTTTGGCCCTGGGGCTGCCCCTAGGGCCCTTCAGGCCAGATGCTGGAGGAAATGGCCTCCCTCATGCTCTGCTCCTCCTGCTCCCCTCACACCCACCTTCACACACTTGTCACTTGCACACAGCCTCAGAATCCTGCTCCTAAGCAGCTCCTCACTCTCCTAGGCGCTGCCTAATCAGCTGAGTTGAGCCCCACGTCCGGACTGCTGCCTGGGCAACTCACAAGAGCTGCCTCCACTTTCCCCGCATGGCTCGAATCCACTGCCCACTGTGGGCCCAGGGAGGCCCCTGGCCCGGCTCACTTGCACCCACGCCCGGATTCCTTAGCCTGGGGAGTCCGATAGGAACAGACTGAGGGAGGGAGAGGGCTGGAGCCAGTTCGGATTTTCCAAGGAGCTCAGAGCTGACTCGGAAGATATAGTGCGTGCGATGGATGGGGTGGGGGCAAAGGGTGAGCGGAGGGAGTGATGCGGTACCCCTGTTGTGCTGAGTGGTGGGTACAAACTCACATCCTCTCACTCACAGCCTGCATGGCTGTGTACAACCTCACATACCTCCTCCAACTATGCAACGACTGGGGCCTGCGCCGTCACACAAGGGGAGCTACAGGTGTGCGGTGCTAGGCA